TGCTTTTTGGGTGTAAGCCAAAGCGTTTAAGATGACAAATGTTTATTAACATTTAAAAATATAAAAGTTTGGATCGTAAGACATCGCAAAATCTGGTATACCTTTCAAAAGTGAGTCCTGTAAATACACAAACACAAATGTTTCGAGTTGGCTTTTCGCACACATAAACCTTAATGCCTTGCACACTTTAAATGTATGTGTGCCCGGGTTTCTTTTTCTTTTCGCAATTTTTCGTTGTTTAAGAAAAAAAAAACAAAGCTGCAGAAAAAAAGATGTACCCATATATATACATATATATATATGTGCGCATAACACCTTGGTGACATATGCCAACTTACGACAATGACATGCGAAACATCAGCAGCCCACAACGCCCCCCCCTGCCACGCCCCCTTACCCTGACATAAGCGGCTGCGGGAAATGTTGAAGAAGCAGAAGAACAACAACAATCAGATATAATCAGCAAAAAAACAATTTACGAATCTTAGATAAAGGAAATACTGGCAACGAACCTGGTTGTTCAAAAGTGTTTAAAGGGAATGCCATTATCTAAGGATTAGTAATCGATATGAGAAATGGTTGAAGAATATTGAAAGGATAATTTAAGAAACCTGTTAAATAAGTTACCTTAAGTTCAAAATTACTTAATTAAACTGGGCTCAAGACTAATTTTAAGATTAATTAGGCTTGTGGGAATATGATTTAATAAATAGGCAAAATATATATATGGTGATTTATGGAATTAAAAAAATCGGTAATGATATAGCCACTCAAATAAAAATATATTTCTCAAGCTACCAGCAAAACAATAACATTATCATAATTTTTTATATTTTTCTGAGGTCCGTACGAAAAGGATAACGTATTCCTTTACAATCCCCGCATCGCAGCATCGTAAACAGTTCATTTCCACTTATCCCCCACTTTATTTGGACTATCCCCAGTGCTCCATATTTTTTCCTAGCCCCCAAGCAACATCTGAATATCCCGCCTATAAAGAAAAGTCACACATAAAAAAAGGCGGCTCGAAAAGTGGGTAAAATCAGAACCAAATGTTTACGATTTCATAGACATGTTTCTGGATTTGCTGCCCAAGACTCACGGCTATGTACAAAATCTTAGTAGTGGCACTAGATATTATTAATAAAACAAACCCAACCTTACTAACTATCCGAAAAGGTAAAGGTTTCTTAGTATTTTTATATTCATTGAATAGTCTAAGATTTACGAATACATTAAAAAATATTTAAGATTGTTTTGAAACAATTTTTGTTTGCTTTTTTATAGGAACTATTACCTTATCCATGACTGTTTGGAGAATAGGTGGTTTTTTGATTTTTTCGGGTGGTGTTAGTGTCAAGAAAAGTCTGAATAAGCTCCCATAAAACACACGGCAAAAAAGGAGGGCTGAGGGAAAATCCTCTCAACTTTAGTTTGCTGACGATGTTTCTACTGCGTTTCACTTTCCTTGCAGATTTTCGCTTACTTTTCTTTTGGAGTTTCCAAAGTTGGTAAGTTGAAAATCGTGCTGGAAAATGCCAGATGATAAATGCAATTTGTATAAGTGTCACGCTGGTCTCACGGGATTGGAATGTACCCCCCAACATCGGGACATTTCTATTACTTCATTTAAATCAGACCAAAACATTAGGCCAAAGTCATAAAACAAGAAGAAAACAATTTTTTCTGGCCTTTGTTGTGGGGGTCCGGGTGGAAATAAAAATGTAAATGTAACTAGAGGCCAGCAAATGAAATTTTGGGCCGGAAAATTCCCAGGGAGGCCCACCGAAAGTTTCCCCATCCCAAAAATAAAAGTAGCCAACTAAATAAAATGCGAGGGGCTATAAAAATGAGTGCAGTTGCCGAAACAAGAGCAATAAGGAATCGCCGGCGAAAATGAAAATGTTTGTCAAGCACGAAACAACAGCCAGTATTTTTGACCGCAATGCTGCCAAATGTTCAGGCAATAAAGAGCATTTCTGTTGAACAAGAATCTAAATCAAGAAAACAAACGACAAAAAGTGGCAAATGAAAACGAAAGTGAAATACATGCACATAATTTGAATAGAACCCTCCTCCTTTATTTTCCGATTCTCAACGGTCAAAAGAAAATTTGGTTTAACCAATTAGAAACTGCGGTCGACTGAGGTTGTGGTTATGCTGGGATTGGGGAATCGAATTGATTTGAGGCTTAATCAACTAAATAAATGAGGAGAGAGAGCCATGAGTAGAGAAATATGTCTCGAATTTAAATATTTGCAAAAATTCAAAAAGGATATTTTGTTTAACTGTATATATTTAATGACATTAAATAAAATCATTGAGATAAAATTCCAATTACATGTCAATGTATAGTTAATAAAGAATATAATATATAAGTTACAGAAAAGGTGCCACAACATCTGGAAATATATAAATATATTCAAAGTACTTTGTTGATTTTAAAGTAATTTTATAAAGATTTTTTTTTAAATATTATACTTTAAATCGCTTCTGATTAGTTGCAAATACGAAAAAAAATGTAAACTCAATGGAAATAATTGAAGACCCTCCGGCAAAAAGGGGACACAAATAATAGCTCTAGATTAATAATGAAAATAATATTATTATTTTTGTTTGCTGCACATTTCTCTTGCTGGCACTCAAATGACCGCATCAGCTCGGCACCCTCGCCCCAGCAGTTTTCCTTAATAATTTTCCCCCGCCTCTTGGACAATTTTCCCGCCCTTCGGAGCGACCATCGACGCATTTTGTTTGCTGCGGATGCCAAAAGGACTTGGCGGCGTCAAATTTATGGCTCTTGACTCTCGACTCTTGGCATTCCAGTGCGCCCAGAATGCAGAATGCACCATTGTCAATAAGGTCCTTCCGCCCAACACTTTCCCCCTTTACCCTTTTCTCTCATTTTCCCCATTTTTCCGCTTTAAGAGCGCTCCGCAATTTTTGGCGGGCGACTGAAATAAATTTTGAAGGCGGCCAGAAGTGCATAAAATCAAACACAATAAGCGAAAGAGCCGCAAATCATATTGAAGGATGTTCTAGTATCCTTGGACCCTCCTCTAATTAGTTTACAAGAAGGGGACGAAGGGGGCGAAGAAAGCGAGGAGCCAAATGGAACAGAAAACAAATCAATGACAGATGATGAGTGGTCGCGACAAGCGTTCAAGGGTGGCACACTCGAAAAAAACAGTGGTAGCAGACCAATATCAATTTAATTTTCAAAACATATGTAGGCACTGAGTCGATGGTTTTGCAGAACAAGGTTTTGAACTATCTTTTTTAATTATTTTAGAAAAATTTTTAACAAAAGAAGATTAACAAAATAAGAATTTCCAGCCCTTTACTTATTATAAAGAATAAAAATTTTTCAACATAATTAACATTTTTAATTTATATATATTTTTTGATGGAAAACCTTTTTGACTTTGAGCAATTGGCTTTCAATTATATTTTAAAATCTTAGTAAAAAAAAGCTTTTAACTTAAGTTATAAACATACTAGTTTCACAACGATTACAAATTTGAAGAAACATTTTTTTGAGTGCATTAAAAGGGCTTCGAAGGGAGCAACTCAAGCCTCCACCCATAAATTTATGTTTATTTGTATATTCCCCCGTTTGTTCGGTTTATGTGACAGCTTCAAAGTGCACTCAAAATAAAGAATGCAGGCAACCTTTTTGATGCCCCCCGTTTCTAACTGGTTTTTGTTTTTGCTTTTTCCCGAGCTTGAATGTTTTGCAAATTGGAAGGCATAATGGAAATACATGGTGCGAATTTAGATATTGTAAACTAAAAAAACAGTGTTTCTAACAGTGGTGCTTATAAATGATATGCAAAAGAAGAAAATTGGCTGTTCTTAAATAATCTTTTTGTCACATAGATAATCCCTATGCCAAATATATTTTCTGCTTTGTTTTTAAGTCGTACTCAAGCCACAGTATTAAACCTTAAAAAATATGCACTTAAAATAGTAATGTGATTAATTTTTAAAAAACTCGTAAAGTACATCTATTTTATGTTATTTATTAAAATCTTAAGTAGTGAACATAATATTTTGAACTATTTTTCACATACACTCTTGTAGGTAACTATCTAAAAGTCAAACATTTTTTAAAAGCAAATACAAATATTTTTCACTATTTAAACACTTCAACACTTTTCACCAACACTTCAAAATGTAAATACAAAAAAAAATTCAAGAGTTATATTCTAATATTTAAATTCAAATTTAATTTTTCCCACTCACCTTTGGCAGTTTCGTTTTGTGATCTACAACAATGGTGTAGTTTACATGTATTTATATGATTTTGTCACATACGAGACACTTTTAAACAAAAATAAAATATTTTCCGAGCCGTAACCGTTACTTGGCGATTTCGAAACTTAACCGTTTTACTGTTGACCCGCTTACTTTGGCCTGTGTCCGCTGGCAAGCGAACGCGTCGAATGCTGAACTGCTACTTGTTGGCGTTTCGTCGTCCTCCGAAAACGAAGCGGAGATGCTAGGGCAAAGCAAAAAAAAAAAAAAAGTAAAGGAAAAAGGAAAACAACACAGATACGCACGCACACAGGCGCATCCGCTTTTCCCCCTTCACCTCCCTTCGGAAAAGTTCATTTTCCTATTCATTTTGGCGAATTCGCTGTGCTGCGAAATCGTCTGTTGGGTATTCGCAAGCTTTGAGCTTTTCCAATCGCTTTTCCGGCAGGGCATGTCGCTCGCTGCAAAAGGAAAAGCCGGCTATAACGTCCTCAAACAGAGAACGGAAAAGGGAGAGCTTAGCTGGTAACTTTTGGCGCCTTTTAGGATTTTAAACAGTTAGAAAGGGTCCTATTTTCTTTTGCTAAAATTTAAGCTAAAGAATTCGCAATGATTTTTACTATTCTTCAACCTTTTTAGCTGATTCATTTTAAATACTTATTTTGTACACTATCTGGAATCAGAAAACATTTTAATATATGTCAGCAACAACAACAAAGCAACCCTTTTTTCTCCCTGTAAACCCAATCTTTATTATACAGAATATAAAAATCAGAATGTGTAAATATTTAAACGAACGAAGCGGATCGCTTTACTCCATTACAGTCTCCCCGTAAATTTCGCTGATCAATTTGGGGATCTTTTCAAGTTCCTTTGTTAATGCCAATGAATCCTTCATAGTATTCAGACAAATTTCTTGAAATTTCTGGATAAACGGAGCAATAATCTTGAAGCTTACTAACTCTTGGGCACTGACTTTGAAGTCTTTGGGCTTATGGGAACTTTGGTTAATTGACCGTACTTTTTCGAACATTGTATTCTTAGCATTCATAGTCTCTCCATAAGATAATTTGGTTGGCAACCCTGACTTCGCCTTCGATTTGATTGACCCAACCTCAAGCATAAATTCATCAATGGTTTTTTGAAATTCAATCTGCGAGCGTGCTGCTGCTCTGAGAAAAGCGCCATTCCTTGGAGGAATAACAGCCATATGGGATTTTTTTGACTTGGAGCTCTTAGAGCTGGAACTACTGGTAAATTTAGCGCCGTCGTAGTCAATAATGCCATGAGATGGAGCTCTAGGGAAGCTAATTCCTATGGGTGAAGACACACTCTTCTTTTCTTCTCCTTCAGCCTCCTCATCTCGAGGGCTGCTCCACCAGATTTCGGAATCATATGAGTTATTGGAACCAGTCGAGGGGCTTTGACTTGACTGCTTCTGAGGATTCTGTGGGATAATTATAATAACAAAAAACTATTACTAATATTATATATATTAATAATGTCGTGCTAAGGAATTACACTTCACTATGTAGAAAGGTGAACACAATACAAAGAGTAAAAACCGCGTTACATGGTTATTTAATTAGACAAAATATTAAAAAGTTTGTCGATTTCATGGAGACCTAAGGAACTTGAGTAAGAGTAGGCTTTGCGACATTTAAATAAAATAAAATATTTAAAATTTACTTCACAGTGGTTAATTTTACCTTCACTTTCTGAGACTTCGAAGAATAAACTTGATAAATGTTTTTTGAAGGTGAGGCCTGAACACGATAGGACCCCTTCCCCAATTTAATCGGACACTGAGGATATTTACAAGAACATTGTGGATCATCCTGGACGTCCTGCTTTTTTGGTCCTTTACCCATCACATTAGTACGGGACGAGATCTGGCGCACACTATGCGGAGAACTATTCTTCTGCTGGCGCATATTATCAGGAGAACTATTCTTCTGCTGGCGTATATTATCAGAACTATTCTTCTGCTGGCGCATATTATCAGGAGAACTATTCTTCTGCTGGCGCATTTTATCAGGAGAACTATTCTTCTGCTGGCGCATATTATCAGGAGAACTATTCTTCTGCTGGCGCATTTTATCAGGAGAACTATTCTTCTGCTGGCGCATTTTATCAGGAGAGCTATTCTTCTGCTCGCGCATATTCTCAGGAGAACTATTCTTCTGCTGGCGCATTTTATCAGGAGAGCTATTCTTCTGCTCGCGCATATTCTCAGGAGAACTATTCATCTCCCGAGGCAGGGCAATCGCTTCCATGGAGCCACAATGCGATGACTTCTTGCTCTGCATATTATGAATAGAATTGGTGTATAAATTTTTGAAAAATGTATTGTCCTTATTCATCGTGTTCGAGCAAAAACTTTAATAGTGTTTATTTGAGTAATGTTCTTATATGAATGACGCTTGTATCCAAAAATATTTGACACAAAAATCGAATAAGGAAAAGGCGCCTACTTTAAAAATAAATCAATTTTTAAAAAAAAAAAATCATCTATATCATCTATTGAAAATAAATTATCACAATGGAAATTAGCCTTTTAACAGACCAATCTTTTTCGGAACAAATTAAAATTAAGAATTCGCGGGAAATTTTTTTTAAATTATTTAATATACCAACCTTTTAAAAAACAAATCAAATAATATATTAAAAGTAAAAAATTATTAAATATAATTTTTCTCCCATTGCCATTAAAATAACCACATGTGATTTTGTTGTTGTTGTATTTTTTAATTAATTCATAATAAAAGTTTCTATTTTTCGGTTTGTTTTTTTTTGTTTTTGACGCTTAGCTAATATATTTATTATATATTATTTATATGTATATCTACAATAGTTATTAGCATTATCATTATTAAACTGTTGTTTTGCTTTCTTTTTGTTTCAAATCTGCTTAATTCGCAGATTCATTTCTTTTGTTTGTTGGTTTGTTTTTAGACAAGTTAAGATTTTAAAAAAACTCAGAATTACACTTATATACGTGTTGTTAGTTCTTCTCTTCCCGCGCTTTCCTCTCGTTTCTGCTTAAATAACAAAAAAAATTGTCGCTTTTGCCAAATAAATTATATATGCATATATGATAAAAAAATATATGGTCATATACATGATAAGACGTAAATGTAGGGCATACAAAAAAATTAAACTAAAACAAAACTTGCTGCGATTTTAACCGGAGGTTACAAAAAAAGGTATATATAAATACAAATTTGTTTTCTGTTGTTTCTTCGTATTTGTTGTTTAAAATAACTAAACAGCAATTTTGGGTGTGGGTGGGTGTTGCGATTTAACGGCAAATAACTACAAAATAAGATTCGTACAAAATTCAATTAGCAGAATAGCAAGCCAATCAAAAGAATAAACAAACATTGGCGATCGCTCAATGAAAATAAATAAAAATTCGGATATAATAAACGGCGATGGGTCGTAGGATCCCCAAACTAAATATACATATAATAAATATATATATATATAAAATTGTCGATATCCTCTCCGTCCCGTGAAACGTGCATTCGGCTCGACTTGACTTGCATTTTGGTTGTCATCTTAATCATTTTATCATCATGATTCTCATACATTATTATGTTGGGTTGTTGTAAATATACAATCTTTCATATACTCTATTTATATATATTTATTTATATATAATTTGTATATAGTTTAATTAGCTTTTTATTGCAGTTGAGTATACTATGTTGACTTGTTTTTTGTTGGTGTTGTTGCTGGTGTTGTTGATCCTATTTCGTTTGTTTATCTTTTGTTGTTGTTTTCTTTTTGTTTCTTTTGTTTCGATTCGTTACGAGGCTTTAACCGTATTGCTTCTTGATTTTGATAGGTGTTTGTCAGCTTTATTCTCCTTTTGTAGTTATCTTTGAGTGGTGTGTTTGTTTGTGGCTATTTCTCTGGCTTTTTTGACCGCCTTGCTTCATGCTTATTAAAGTTTACTTTTGTTTTTAATTTACGCTTTGCTAATTATAAAGTATGTTTTAGTTTTTTGTGTTTCTTGTTGGAGTTCTTGTTGCACCTGTTGGTTGATTTATCCTGATTTGTCTTGTGCCAAGTTCATTTAGGTCGCATAACCAGTAATACACTGCCACCATATAGTCGGTTAGGGACTGGAACTTGATCCGAACACAAGTGAATCGCAGGCTGGTGGTGGGGAGAGATGCGTCGCCCAGAGGAGAGAAGTAGGAGGATGGAGCAGGATGCACGCGGTTTCTCAGTCATTGTTGTGGGCCCCCGCCAGTCATCATCATCTAAACCATTCCCAGATGCCCACCAATACGGGTAAATCCGGGCATGTGAAACGAGGACAAAGGCTAATTGCTGGAGGGGGCCACAGTGGACCAATCATCATCGCAATCTTCATCAGCTGCGCCAGAAGAAGCTCTTTTTGAGCCTGACGGACAGCTTGCGATGTACGCGCAGCCTAACCTGCTCCTGATCCTAAGTATCGTCCGACATGAACGCGTTCTGAGTCTTCGACTCCTCAATGCGGCGGATCTGCTGACGCAAATACATGATTCTGAGGAAAGGGTACAAGTTATTATAAATCATATTCAGTTGCAGAAAGCCCACTTACTTTTGTTCCTGCAGGGTGGCATTGATCTCGGTGCTGCGTACCAGGCTGCGGGCGCACTTTAACTCCGCGCATATCCTCGTGCAGGTGATATCACCAAACAGGTGCGTATCCTCACAGCACTTCTGCGCCTTCGAGAAAGAAGGAAAAACATTTACAATCAGTTTGAGCCCATAGATAAGTATTCAGAGGTCGAGTTAGTGGTTAATACACAGGCAAATCCTACCTCACAGCTTACCTGACGCTCCAGCACCTCCGCCTGCCAGTTGGTCACGTGCGCAATCAGGTCGGCGCGGAAGTATTTCGCCAGTTTGGGTGAAATCTCGGGGCCGCGCAGGTTCGCCGCCTGCCCCGAGGAACCTACGCAGCTCTGCAGCGAGCTTAGCGTGGCCGACGAGGTGCCATCCACTGAAACACATTCATTAAAATCTATTTATCATTTATGTAATATTTTGAAAATATTTGTTTGCTCAAAAAATATTAAAATGGAATTATTCGTAATTGGTGTCCCATAAACTTTTCAAAATGTAATGAATATTTTAAAACCAATCCAATCTACATTCTAATGAAAATGTACTACAAAATACAGGAAAAATTAAAAATTCTTGTGGGAACAGCTCCGAAAATCGTTAATCATTTATGGGACAGCCCTAATTTTACCAAATAATTACTATTTAAGACTCACATTTACGCTGCTGCTGGGCCTGCTGCGCCACCTGCAGCTGAAGACTGGCCGCTGCCGCGGCTGCCGCTGCGGCGGCCAACTGTTGCTGCTCCAGCGCCGAGCTGCTTAAGTCCAGTTCCTGTGTGGGCGTAGGCGGGCCCTCGCCACCCGCCGCCGCCCCGCTGTTGCTGCCCATCGAGGTGATCACACTGATTCCGCTGACGGCGCCCAAGCCGGGCACGATGCTTTGGCTGCTATTCGCTCCACTGGAGCCGGAGGATGCATTACCACCGGGCGTGGCCGGCGAGGCGTTCGCCACCAGCACTCCGCCATCGAGGGTCGTCTTGAGGCCGAAGGGTGGATTGCAGGTGTAGGCGTTGCTCACATTGTTCGTGTGGCCCACAATTGTCGGGATGGGACTCTTGGTGTAGCTCAACGAAGGCGAGAGGCTGTGGTGTGGATGGGGCATGTACAGCGGCGAGTTCACACTGTTGTCCCTGTATTAATAACATAAATTAATTAAATTTCATGTCTATTCGACAAGATTTATTTCATTTACCGTAAGCTGCTTAGACTGCTGCCGGAGACTGAATTATTGACCGAGTTGTAGGCATGATTGACCCCATCTGCCGCCGAACCAACCGAGTTGACGCCGTGATGCGATTGCACATCCAGGACGCCTAGGCCCATGTGCATCTTCTGGCGCATGAGCAGTGCCTGATCCTTGCCCTTGGCACCAGGTGGCAGTGGAGCATTCGAGTTCAGATGGTGCTGGTGCGGATCCTGACTTCCCAGTGTGGGCACAGTTGTCTGCAATGCATTATAATACGGTTACATGGTAACGGCAATTAAAAAGCTACGACGAATGCGAACTTACGCCAGAAGTGGAGCCGATGTGTCCGACAACGGAGTTTCTTAGGCTGCTGCTGCTGGCGTTGTTGCTGCTGCCGCCGGCACTGTTGCTGCTGTTGCTGTTCACCATTCCCGACGACGACAGTCCGCTAGTTGGCAGCATTGTGGCCCCCGTCACCGGGCCACCACCACCGCCCGCTCCGCTGCCGTAGTGAAGTCCCGCCGCCGCTCCTGCACCCGTCGCCACCGACGCGGAGGAGTTGGCATTCGGATGGGAGGCCAAACGGGGCAGAGCGTTGCCCATCGGCTGATCGCTGCTGCCACCGCCGCCGCCACCAGGAACTCCCCCGCCCTGTCCGCCGCCGTGGGTAGTGGGTGTGCCGCTCAGCGAATAACTGGCCTCCGATGTAGGCGTAGAGTCGCCGCTTATGTCCATGTCAGCATTGTCGTTGTGCCGACCTGGGGGTAAGATTTTGGAATCAGAAGTTATAATTAATTCGGCGGTTTGATGTCTTTGTAAACTTGAAAAATTCGAAGATTTAATTCCTATTGGAAAAATTATATTGTTTAAATCGATTTCTTGAACATATAGTGTACATTCTTCGAGTTCGCCAAGCTTAACAATATAAACTAAAAGTATTTCCTCACCATCCAAACGCCTTCGATGGCTGGGTGGGCCGCCATCGTTGTCGTAATTCCATCTCAGTCGTGAATTGTCGCGCGAAGAATTGGAATGTTTGTATGCTACAAGGAAAAAAATAAATTAAATTTAATATATATATGTTAATTTAAGGCAGGTTTGTAACTTACTCGATCTGGAGAAGCGATCATCGCGGTCGCGATCGCGATCCTTGTCGCGATAGTCCTTCTCACGATGCTGATCACGCGGCAAATTTCTGAAACCATATAAAATGTTAATATAAAAATGTTATAACACTTAGCAGGGATATGTTCAAATTATTTATGCAACACTAAGATTCTTGAAGGTAAATGGTACTTCATTGTTTACCTTTCTCTGTCCACCCATTCCTTTGGTTTCTCCCACTGAGAGATTTCCGTCTTGCAGTTGTAGTAATACATTTTTCCTAAAAACGAAATAAGATTTGAGCTCAAAAGCTGAAGGAGATGAAACATTTATCTATGGACTCACCCGATGAGCTGACATGCTCGCTCCAGTCGCCATAACGCGCCGTCCGCTCACCTCGATCATTGCGCTCACGTTTGTCTATAAACAAAAAAGGGAATAAGTTCAGTAAATTGTAGACACGGTTTAGAGCAAATGGGTTACGACTTACCTGTATACTTGTCCTTCTTGTACATGTCCCTGTCGCGATCGGAGCCGCGATCCCGTTTGTCGCGCAGGTCGCGCATATCTCGGTCCCGCTCCCGATCGCGATCGTCGGAACCCGAGCGTTTGTCGTTCTCCCGCGAGGAGCAGAGCTTACCGCTGGCGTTGCCTCCTCCACCGCCACCGCCTCCTCCGCCACCTCCTCCTCCGCCACCACCACGCCGATCCCTGTCATGGTTGGTTCGGTATGACGCCTCCGAGTCGCGATCGTTGCCACGTCGATCACGTTTGTCTAACAGGGGAAAATTATATACAGTTCAAGACATAAAATAAAATGTTAGTCAATTCCTATATTCACCTGAATATTTGTCCTTCTTGTAGACATCCCGATCTCGGTCCCGCATCTTCTGTATGAAGCTGTACCGCTCGCCGCTGCCGCCACGCCCATTACCGCCACCACCTCCTCCGCCGCCGCCCCGATGATCGCTGCGATCGCGAAGATCATGCGAACGGGAGGATGGGGAATCAATGTCCGGCGATTGGGAGCGGTAGCTGTTGCCATTGTTTAATGGTCCGCCGCCATTGCCGCTGCCGCCCCCGCCGCTGCTTCCTCCTCCAGCGGAGCCGCCGCCTCCTCCACCGCCAGCACCTGGCGACAGGTCGCGATCGCGATAATTGGAGGAACGATCGCGTTCGTAGTCGCGCTTTGAACTGCTGTACTTTGAGCTCTGCACGGGTAAATAGAAGCGCACACAGTTTTTAGTCGGTTTAAATTCCCCAAATTAATTGCACAGTGCTACAAGATATAATTTTTGTCATGTACTTTTCAAGGATTCCCAGCGGTTATTGAAGATGTTGTCGAGAAAATGCATTATCTTTTAGAGTTATTATTCAAATATCTTGGAAATTGTTAAGCAGTTTTAGTTTATAATTCGAAAACGTTTTAAATCATCTTTAGCTTCGTTGGAAAATATCTTCCGAATTAAATATGAAGAAACAATAGGTATAGATGAAAATTAAAACCTTATTTATAATTTAAAATAACTTCAATGTTCCAGAAAAAAGTCTTTAACGTATTTATTCGACCACACCCATAATTTCGACAGAGTCTCCTGAAAGATACAGAATCACTGTTATATTCAGTGTTATATTCTTAATTGCGGTTGATTTAAGTCTTGGTTTAGTTAAAAATTTTCAAGTTATTTCATTTTTTTTTGGGGGACAGGGTTAGTTAAACTAAATCTACTTAATAGGGAAATCATAAGTTAATGCATAAATGCCAGCTACTTTTGCCAATGTTCTCGCTTGTGATTATTGCCAATGCAAAAGAAAATAAATAAAATGAGAGTTAAGTGAAATAAAATTCCGATGGTTTGAAAAACAAACATGTAAATCGAGAAAAATTTGGAAATATGTCTAGTATTTTAATTGGTTTGGATTCTAAATGATAAAATCCTTATATCTATGAGTTTTTATTTAGTTTTCAAATAACTTATAAAATAATAACTTAAAAAATAATATGAAGCACTTTGTTATATATATTTTGCTGTTTGATTTGTGTAGACAATTTTGTTTGGTAAGACAAAATAACAACCGAAACAATTTGCTATTAATTTATTTGAATATAGACTTCTTCGTTGGTAATAAATTCAATTATAATCCATAATATGTTAGTGATATTACTTTGCAGTTGCCTGTTTTAAAACACAATATCTATACAAAATTAATTAAATTAAATAGTTTATAATTCTTCATAACTTTGAAGTTTTTAATTTAAGTTTGTGAAGCAAATTATTATCCGTTATAATTGGTTGATAATAAAGTTTATTATAATCCTAGTTGTTTGAAATAAGTCCCTCAAATGTTTATTTTTAATTTAAAGTTGATACCTTTGTTGATAATCAATTTTAAAATAATCCATATATTGTTTCTAAGAAATTATAATCCTTTACAATTTACTGGTTTAAATGATGATTTTGTATTATATTTGTGTATGTATGTAAATGTTTAACCTTATTTGGTGTTTGTTAATGTAAGTTTATAATTTAAAATAAATAAACTATAATTTGTTGAGAAATGATGTGTTTCAACGGCGATCGGTATTGTTTTATCCAGATTTAAGTTTAAAATATACAAATTTTGATAAAAAGATTTATTGATGATCCATTTTATTTTGTGGGTTTTCCATGTTTTTCATGTTTTCTTAGGTTTTTTATATTTCATTATTCAAAAGTTTCAGATTATCCAGTTTCATTATTTATTTTTAGACTATTTGGTTTTTGTTTTAAGCGAGTTTTGTCGGATTTGGATGGGTTTTTAGTTACCCTTTTTGTAGTTTATTATTTTTATTGTTTTACCATTATTTTTTATGGATTTTTATTTTACTTACTTCAAGGCGACAGAGACCCACTGCTGATGGCGTCGACGTCGGTGCTAGCGGCGCTGCTGCTCCGCTGCTTTTGCTATTCGCGTTGTTGTTATTATTGTGGCTAATGTTGCTATTGCAATTGGCAATTGTTGTTGTTGAAAGTGAAAGGTCAACAGCCATGTTGTTATTGTTGTTTTTGCTGGATTTGTTTCTGCTTCTGTAGGAGTTGTTGTTGCTCCTCATAGATATTAATTAATTAATTTTTTTTATATTGCTGCGTGTTTAAATAATCCAATTTGTTTTATATTTGGTCGTTTTTTTAAAGGGCACAACTTTTATTAGTTCTTTTTTTCTTATTTTTATTTATTTCCCATTTCATTATTTGTTTGGCTTAATTGATTGTTGTTACTTTTTGTTTGAGGCACATTTGTGTTGTTGTTGTCGTTGATATTTTCGTTAAATATTGTTGAAATCTATATTTTTTTCGGTTGCACATTTATTTGTTTTTTATTGGTGTATAATTTTTTACTACGTCGGTTTTAAGGCTATTTTAGTTTGATTAAGTCAATAATTTTTAGGCAGCGCTTACAAATTGGTTATGAATTTGATTTCTATTTAAAATAGTTTGATAAATGTTTATATGCTTTCGCTTTTGTTATTCTATTTATATATATAATACGAATTAAAGCATATATTTGTGCTGTTCGGTTAAAGATTGTAATTGAATAATTTCTTTCTAAATATAATATTTGGTTGATAACTATTTCTCGTTTTGTTGTATATAGACCTATTTAACTATTAATCGAATTGGTGTTTTGTTTTTTTTTTTTGGCGTTGATGCGTAAAGATTCGTTTCTCAATTTAAGATCAGTTCAGGCTGCAATGCCGCGTTTTTGAATGGGTTAAAATGAAACACGATTTGGTCAGTACAAAAATGGATGAGGTTACGGGAAAAGTAAGATTTGGATGCACAACAAACAGCGATTGAAAAAGGAAGAGAAATATGAACCGAAAAATCTAAAAATCCAGGCTATACAATTTTCAATTTTGTTGATTTTTCAGTGATCCAACTACGTATTAAAATATCAGCAAATGACAAGGAAAATCGATGGTTCAAGAATCTACGATTTACATTGGCTTTTTTGGCTTCTAAGTGCACTACGAAAGGAGCTTAACTACGAAACTAAAAATATCCACTATAAGCTGGCATACAAAATGTGATTATTTGCGGTTAAAGAAGGGATCTGGGATCGGTCTGCTCACCTGGTAGGATGTGTGACTGGTATGCTTCTCAAAGTACCTAAAAAATGGTGGAAAAAATAAAAACAAAATTAGTTTTGTTTGCAATAATGTTGTAATTGCTAAGAGCACTTTAAAGCACACTTATTTGGGTTTCGGGTTCTGCTGGTTTCACTTTTAATAAAAAAGAATAACCTTTTAATAAACTATAGAGATTTTTACTTGGCTTATTGGGTTTTTTTGTAACATTTTTTTTTAAACTTATTTTTTAGTTTTCATTTTAGATATATGCATGGTAAGCTAAAATAGGTTTTAAAATGAGAAAACGGATGTAATTTTTTAGCTTAAAACCTACTTGTAGCCCACCGTGCGGATTTGAAACCGGGCCCAAAAGCCATGAACTGTCTGCAGAAGTCAAAAATTCTAGGATAGCTTGTGTTCTTTTAATTTTTAAATGTCCAATAAAAAGACATGACTTTTGCAGAGTTTTGAAAATTAAGTTATTAACGATTTTTTGGTTTCTTATAGAAAAACCGTCCTCTTTTTAGGTTTTTCATATACAAAACAATTTGAGATTATTTAAAAAAACAATAAGACCAAAAACAGCAATGATATTACATACATTTGTCAGCGTTTTCAAAGAAAATTATAAACTTAAATCGATTTTCATTTCCTATTGAGTTTCCTTTTATCAATAAAAGCGCTTATCAATGCCGGCATCGATTTGTTGACAATCATTAATTTTTGTTGTTTTGGGTTCAACGAACAATCGAAAGCCGGCTAAATAATGATGGTAAATAAACAAACTAATTGAACTGTGAGGGATTAACAATAAATGGAAATTTATTTTCGGTGGAAAAGCAACGGTAAATGTGACGAGAACTCTTTTTTTTTGCCCACTGCCAGCTGAGCGCGTGCAAGTGAGAGGCCACTACTGTGTGGTGGAAAAGTCAAACACGTAAAGCGCGAAAATGCCAAAAGCAAGGGGAAAAAGTCAATGCCACAAACTTAAAGGAAACTAATATATGAAGGAAAAGCGTTCAATTAAGGAAAAATTAAGCAAATGAATACGAAAAACGAAATAAGGCAGTGGCGCACTGCGAGTTAGAGTGAGATGGCGAGACAGCAGAACGTAAACAAAAAATATACAATTATGGGTGCGTGTGTGTGTTTGTTAGAGAGCACTGTTATTACCGATATTACGATATGTTATTTGATGTATATATTATATATATATTACCCATCGTTCATACGCTGCGGTTTTCTAGCATGCATTACCATCAATGCAAGTTTTTCGCCAAATACGCTGCTGCTTCTGTTGGTTTTTCCTCCCGCTCCTCCTCCTTCTTCGTCGGCTGCTGCTGCTTCCTCTTCCCAGGGAGATAATGCAGCCCTATTATTCCGATTTTATCCAATTTTGTGGGGCCTTTGGCGACTCCTTTTTGCTCCTTATTCTCCTTCTGCTGCTTCTTCTCACCTGCCAAGGCACGCGCGCTTGTATGTGTGTGTGTGTGTGTTGTGGTCCGCTTGTATGGGAGGCTCTCAGTGGCATGTGTGTGTGTGGGCTGTGACTCTGTGTGTGTGTGCCTAAATTGCGGTCGCCGTTTTATCGGCTTATTTTGCTGCCTCCTAAAAGTACAAACATTCAAGCCAATCCTTTAAACAGCTTCCTTATTTGGACGCCCTAATGTGATTAGGGTCTATTCCACCGCCCAAACGCCTTCGCCTTTAATTTTTCACTTTAAACACGGCGCACTGGTGTGCGTGTGCGTTTCCGTGTGTGCGTGTGTGGTGTCGCTTCATTCGTATTTCGTTTCGACTTTTTTTCTTCGCCTTTTCGTACCTTACCGCAATTCGTTTGCCGCTCGCCTTCGATGCGCTGTAATCGCCGCATTTAGTTGCTCCGCATCGGACGACAATTGTTTAATTTTACGCCGACTTGCTGCGTTCGCTTTTTGGCCTCTATACTTGATGATTTTTTTCAATTCTTTTGCATTACGCTTTGTGCGGTCTGTTCGTCGGCACGACTGTGTTGAGTTTGACAGCCATCGGTCGCTGTTGTCGTCCCGCTTGCACATTCTCGGTCGGTATGCTTGTCCTGCTTGCGTTGGCTGCTTGGCGGGCGAGTGAGCAGGCAAACTATATGACTGATCTGGTTGGTTGTCGTGGTGGACTCCAGGTGGCGTGGCGTTTCGTGGTATTTTTTAGTACATTTCGCGGTAGGCGTTGGACGGACTGTCAAATGGTCACTTTGTGCCCAAGGGCTGCCAATTTGTTTAAGAATTTGTACTTTTATTTGGTAACATTTAATACAAAATAATGTCTTCAAAATTATGAAAATAAATTAATATAAAATTTAACTTTAAACTTAATAACTTTCAGTTTATTTTAATTTATTGTCAAAGGTTTAAAAACTACGATTTAATATTTTTGTAATATTTGACTATTTTAACTGTTTACAAATTTTCTTTGAAAATGTTGTTATAATTTTCTTGCTATTTAGAAAATTAATCAAAAACAAGAAAGAAAACTTCGGCAGTTATTACAAACGACTAAATTTCGATTTCTATGCCTATATTACTAAAAACAATGAAACAATGTTGATTTTTCGCTGCATTTTTCCATCGTTTCTGTGGCAGCTGTATGATCAACCGTAGTTCCATAATATTTAAATATTACAAAATCCCAAAGAACAACAAAAAAAATCAAAAACAACAAAGTTATATTTTTTTAAAATGTTTTCCGATTGTTCCTATTGAAACTATATGATATAGTCGCCCGATTCGGCTCGTTCCGACTTATAAACTACCTGCAATAAGACAACTTTTGGGAAAGTTTTAAGCAGATTAAAACTGAGGGACTAGTTTGCGTAGAAACGGACGAACATGGCTCTTCTGGTGATGCTGATCAAGAATATTTACTTTATTGGGTCGGAAATGTATCCTTCACTGCGTTGCAAACTTTTGACCGAAATTATAATAGCCTCTGCAAGGGTGTAATAAATAAAGTAAAAATTTACAACTGAAAAGGTAAACAGTATTAATCCAGAGAAAGCAACCAATTTCAAACTGTAAGCCATGACATGAACCAACAAGTCAATTTTTTTCCGCCATTTTTTTAAAGCAGTGCATCGTTAGCGAAGCGTTATGCGTTTGCCCAGTTAGAACTCATTAACGCAGATATATCATGCTGATAAGGAATAAATATACTTTATAAGGTCGGAAATGTCTTGCAAAAAATTATAATAGGGTATAAAAAGTCACAAAACAATATTTTGTAACGCCCCGTTTTTTATCAAAACCCTAAAAATTAGTTGTCGCACGTTGGAATGTCACACCTCGTTGAATTCGTTACAAAGTTTCCAACAAAGTCTCAATTACAGAAAATGAATATCGTAAAAACAAAATTTTTGCAAAAAAAATTAAAAAGGGCACACCCCTTATGAAATATATTTTGGTCAAAATCCGGAAAAAAACAACTCGAGTTTTGGTTTCTTGATCGAACCCCTGAGAAATAGTGGTCTATAATAGAATGTAGTTTCCAATCAGTCCTTGACATACCAATTAGTTTGTTTTTTTTTTGTATTTATTAAATCGTTTTCGCATATTGGTTTCGTACATATAGTATTTTGTTTATATATATTAATATAAGGTATATGTAAAGTTGATTTGTAATAAATTATAAGCAAGTCGACTGTACTCGCACTGGAAACGCGAAGAATTATATATACAACAGGGTTATCGAACAGTTCACGTACACATATTATAAATTACACAATTAATTACGCTTTAAGTACAGGCAATTCAATTCGGTTATAATTTCAATACCCATCGGTTGGCGTTTAGATTAATTCGTTGATAAGCAGCTTTCGCAAGAGGAAAAGGACGAGAAGGACGAGGGTGAGTGGGTGTGGGTGTGGGAGTGGTAGGATCAAGTTCGTAAGTGTGGACACTACAATAATAATTTGGTCTGCTCTGCACCAGATCGTTGGTGTGGGTTCCCTCATCCGGAGTCCCTAGATGATCGCCTCCACCGCTCCGACCTCGGCGTTCTTCTTGATAAGGCTCTCCCACTGGGCAATGAGGCCCCGGGACGAGGGCGCCTCCTCGGGCGTCAGATCACAGAGCTGGGCCAGCGACATCGCTGGCCGCATTCCATTCCCATTGCCATTGCTGATCCCATTGATTCCATTGGCCATGTAGGCGGTCGCGTTCAGGCTGCGATTGCCCGAGGATTTGTGGACGATCTCCTGCTCGTTTCTGCAATTGCAATGGAAAGTGGTACTTAGTCTCGGTTTTCTGGGCGCCCAACCTTCGCTCACACACTCACCCATTCCTATCGAGCTCCTGTGTGGACTGGGCGTTGCGCAGTTTTCCTGGTCCGTAGCAGTGCTCCACCTCGGAGTCCTCGTCGTCATCGTCATCCGCATCGGCCTCGTCATCTGTGCTGAGTTGCCTGCCAAAAAGAATGCATAATATTAATATATAGTTCCAGTATCAAAAAAAACTTGTTGCTTTTTAGAAACATACAACCCAAATCTACAAATGCGTTTTTTGCATTGCATAACATCACTAATGGCCCCCTAGTTTAATAAATCGTAACTTATTTATTAATGAATTACTTTTAATAGTTACATATTTTCTAATTACTTTCAATATCAATAAATAAGGAAAAGAGTGTGGTTTAGAAATAAACCAAAAACTAGGTTTAGGATGTGAACAATGAATGATAATCTCTTAGTTTCCTTATCGAAACCCAATTTCCAGGGACTTATATGATATATGATATATGACTTACAGCTTATCGAGGGAGGCCTTGAGGGTGTTCTGCCTGTTGATCTTGCGCAGGCGCTTCAGCTCCGACTCGCGCGACTTGAGGTCCTGCAGCTCCCGCTGGATCTTCTGCTCCACGGGCACATAGCCTCGGCGCAGGGGACGTCCCTCCGAGTCCCGCTCGATGGCCGCCGGCGACAGGGTCACCGAGGAGGAGGTGATGCCCGCCGTTGGGCCGCCGGATTCCAGAAAGGCCATTGCGGTGCGTGTGTTCAGCTTGAGGGTGTTGTTGTTCTGGTTGTTGTTGTTGTTGTTGGCACTACCACCACCATTTCCATTGGTCAGGTTCAAATTCAAGGCCATTGGCGAGGCGGGCGGCAGGGGGCTGGTGGGGGCCAGTTTGCCATGCGAGGCAATGAAGCGCTGCATCACACCCTTGGTGGCGCCACCGAAGGCGAACTGCCGCTTCTGGGGCAGACCGCCCAGCTGGGGCGTCGAAATGGTGCGAGTGATGAGCTTCTGCTGCGGCGGCTCGGGGGTCAGGTTGTAGCAATTGGGGCCGATGTAGCGCTGCTCCTGGCGCGTCACCACGGTCAGCTTGAGCGGCTGCTTGGCCACACCACCGCCGGTGGCACTGGCACTGGCACTGGCACTGGTGATGGTGTTGCTCTGCGAGGAGGCCGAGATGCCCGAGTCGTCCGAGTGCTGCCCGTCCAGACTCTCCTCCTTGCCGCTGTTCACGCTGGAGGCCAGCGATGGTGTGTTGGACAGCTCGTCGATGGGCAGCAGGAGCGAGGTGGTCTGCACGGCCGCCGGCTGTGCGGTGACCAGTACGCCTTGATCCTGGCCCAGATCCTCATCCTGCTCGTGATCCTGCTCCTCATCCTGCTCCAGTTTCTGTCCAAAATCCAGGCCGTTGCCATTGACCGTGTACGCCTCGAACTCCACCGCGGAGGGGGAGGCGAGGGTCGTGCTGGAGGAGAGCGTGGCCAGCTGGCGGTACTCCTCCTCGCGCCGCACCACCTCCTTGATCTCCTCCTGGATGCGTGTCAGGGGATCGATTTTCTGCAAGCAAAACAAAGGAGCAGCACTGCGATTAAAACTTGTCCTTCAAGCCTTAAGGATATACTTAATATACTTATAGGAACAAAATAGTTATACGTATAAGAAATGCCCAAATAAAGATAAATATATAAATATAAAATTCATATTAATGAAGTTTGACTGAGTTTTTGTATATTTAAAGATCGTCTTAGAATGGGTTCATAAGGATCCCTTTAAATTGAAATAAATAATATAGAAACATAAGTTTAGCCGAATTGTTTATTTCTTAAATGCAAAAAACGAACAAGCTTATATTTTGTATACAAAGTGTAAACTACAAATGATATATTAGCACATAGTGTTTTTTAAAGTAGATCGTTTAAAACCGAATGGGTCGATCGACTGAACATATAAAAACGAACTTGGACTACATTTATTTCGAGTGCAATTGGTAACCCGAAACGGAGGAAGTGATCGAGCAGCTCCGATTACGCATCGAAGTTTGAACTTCTAAGCTGCATGTAATCGAATACGCAATATGCCACTCACTTTCGATCGACTGAATTGCCAGCCGCAAGATGCAGATACACCCGCATCCGTGAGATGCATCTTTGAGCGAAATCGGAGGAGACAAATCCGCTACTTGCATAATCCGATTGGCTTTGATCGTGCTGCCCAAATGATCAAAATGATCGAATTGATCCGCCAAAACCACACACGTCGAGTGGTGTTGGGTGGTTCGGAGTGGCTTAGAGTGGCCCAGAGTGGCTTAGAGTGGCCCATGGTAATGCGGAGGGGTTCAGAGTGGACCCAAGCGTAACTCAAGCCGATTATTGTGCGTGACATCGACAACAAAGGTGGGTGGTTGGGTGGTTCGGTGGTTGGGCGGTTCGGTGGTTGCCGGTTCCTCTCCGGTTCGTTGACTGTTTTGTTGCTCTGTTTTCGCGGTTTTTGATTTGGTTTCGGAAAATGCCAAACTAAAACCGAACAACACATCGAGAGTAAAAGTGTTTGGCAGTCTCACTTTCAGCGCGGTTTTATTATATTCTGCGTACATGCATAGAGGAATTTGTCGGCCAATTAACAAGGTTTTACTGTCATAATAAACACATACAGCTGGGTTCAACTGAACAGTGGTAAATGTGAAAAATAAAGGAACAACTTACTAAACCATTATTTGGAACCATTTCATTTTGAACACAGCTGTATTTCTTTTAAGTGCGCAAAGTCATAAAGAATAAAATGGGCCTTAAGTACAATTATAATATTAAACACACCCAAAATGTAAATCCATTTTTTAGTTCTTGTATTTTTGTCAGTCTTAACCCATTTTTAAGGATTTACCACTTCTAAAATTTAAAAAAGGGGAAACTTTTTCAAAGATAAGATAAATATTATTAAAGTAGTAAATTATAAAATAGCTTTGTCTTGGCAATGTTATATAAAACGATAAGAGAAAAACATTTTGCATTTTAAATGCGCCATTTTTGACACAAATCAGTCTGACTTACTGATAGCTGTAGACCCAAAATTATTCTTTTTTTTTCCAGTTTATGAGATACGATACACTTCAGAAAATATATAAGGCTATTTATTACCGCTGTTACCCAACAAAACTGTGGCAAATGCATTTCTACGCTTATTTTCAAACCACTCCCAAAATTGAAATTATTTACAATCTTTTCTGATTTTTGCAATGAAATAAGTGTTAAAATGGGGTTACTAATAAAATCTTATTTGTTAAATCTTCTTAAAGCTTTTTTCTTGCTTTTATGGCTGAAGTTTTGCGATTAGTCAAATAAGAATATGAAGTTTAAATATTGTTGTATACGCAATTAGCCGTCATAATAAAAGGGAGAACCCAATTGAAGTTATTTTCTGGCTCCTTTGCTCAGTCGCTTTATCTGCCCTTTTCAAAAACAAACCAACTATTCCCACAGCAATCAGCATCCATTTGATGGCTAAATACTTCCCCTGCAGTCACAATTCAAGCACTTACAGGGTCTCCACCGCCTATATATCTTTATTTTTTTCATTTTTCAGGGAAAAGGGAAAAGGGGACTCATTTAAGGGTTGCTTGGGTAAGATAGGTTTTAGTTTTTTCGGGTCACCGAGTGGGCTTTTAGGGTCATTTAAGGTCTGTGGGGTCTTGTGAGCTCATGTGTGTGCTCTCTGGCAGTTGATGTTGCTGTTGCAGGTGTGTTGCTGCTGCGGCGTTGATGTTGCCGCTGTGCTGTTGCTGTTGCTATTGCTATTACTGTTGGCAGTCGAGTGTCGTCAGTGGGCTTCCGCATCGTTTTCGCATTAGAAAGTGCCAGTCTATTCAGAGTCGCTAAGTGTTTCTGTTTTTTCTTCACTTTATTGTCTTGTTTTGTTTAGTCCGAGTCGATAAAATATTGTGCCGCACTTTGAGTCACAGTCACAGTCGCCGGACGTCACAAAAAATCACTGAACGTAGTCACCGCCCGTAGCTCATCGATTCGATGCAGATTTTCACTCAATTGTTTGGGCCAGCACCCAAAACGACAACGAATCGAATCGAAATGTGCGTTTAACGACGTCGTTTTCACTTACATCAAAACAACAAAAAATTAGCTTGGAGAAAACCCCACACAGCAAAAGTGTCAACGGAAATCGAAGTGGGCAATACCCTGATCTTCTCTACATTTTAGTGAAATAAAATAAGCAATACAATATTTTGAGGAGTTGCCTTTAAGGACATACATATTTCATGGTATTTTAATGATTTTATTTTAAAGGATTTAATTTGAAATCAGTTTTCTATAGGTCATCTTTGTTTATTAAATATTCTCATGCAAGATTTAACAAGACATTTGCAACCATTTAGTTTCCATTTAGGTAAAGTAATTCAATATTTTAAATGCTTCCGATGAAGCCCTCAAGTGTCGATGTTTTTTGTGCATATTCCGTAATGCGATCCCGGAGTTTCACAGTTTAATTAAAAAAACCCCATGGGAAACGCTTCCTGCGGTGGGTTCTACCCATTTTTGTGGAACAAAAAAAAATGTAAGTGTATATATACAGGCATACCCAAAACGTAGCAGTGAAAAAAAGTTGTACGATACTTCCGTTTTGTGCTGGTAGCGAAGTGCAATGACAGCGGCAACATCGCAGCAACAGCAACAGCAGCAACATTGCAGCGGCAACTTTTGGAGGCAGCTGCCTAAAGTCAAGTTGACAGATGCTCCTCGGCCGGCTGTCACTTTTGGCGCGCGTTTTTTCAGCAAATTTACCGCAAAGGGGAAATGCAAATGCAAATGCGAATGTGAATGCGACATGCGGCATGCGGCATGAGGCATGCGGCTCTTGTCCAAGTTTGAACCCATTTGCATGCCGCAGTCGACGGGGGTCAAACGCCCAATGGGTCGCGTGAACAGGCAGCCAGCTGAAAACAGCGAAAAGCAGGCAACGAGCAAATAAGCCACCAAAAGCCAAAGACTTGGGCGCAATTTGTTGCTGCTGTTGCTGTTGTTGCTGCTGCTGTTGTTGCTGCTGCTGTTGCTGCCACGACAAGATCGGCAACAACAAGATCAGAAACAAGGCAAAAAGCAAAAAACAAATTGGCAAGGGGGGAAAAACACAACATGAGAAACTAAAAACGAACAAATAAGAACAATATAATGAGGGTATAGACTTGAAAATATCCAGCATATCCATAAGGCCAACTAGCTCTACAAAAACTTCAATGGCAGTGAGTATATCCATTTGATCACAGCAAAACATATATGTTTCATACACTATCGTTTTGTATCTACCCAAAATTAAAAGCTTTGTAATGCTGCATTTTTATATTCCCAACTATTTATAAGTTAGTAAGTTCTAATCATATGAGATATTTTGATAGTTCGCTTTTTGTTTTCTACCCAAACTTAAGCGAAATGAACATAATCTTATCAAAATAACAACAATTTCATATTCTTAATTACTTAGAATTTGTTTTAGTTCTTAATATAATATATAAATTTAGAAAATTAACAATTTTGAAGAGTACTGTGCAATTTTAATATAAGTTATAAATAGCTTTGGATTGGTTGGATACAAAAATGCCATTCAGTAATTTATGGTAAAAACCAGATATTTTGTAAAATGTTCATTAACAAATAATATATTACATACTTTACAGCAGAGGATGGGCAAACGCGTTACATAAATTACCGGGAAAGTTTCCAAAGTCTGAGTTATTTACAACACCTTTGAGTTGGCAACCTCCAATGGGAAATCAATTAGCTTGCGGATAAGAAAAGTCGTATACCCAGATCGGCGGAATTAGGGGGTACAAGCAACAGAAGTGGAGAAACAACAGAAGATACGAACAAAAGCGGGAGAACGTGACAAGAAACGTGACCGTGACTGTGGCTCTTTCTTCCCGCCCCTCTTTCTCTCTTCCTTCCCCACCCCGACTATCGCTATCTATCTCTTTCTCTGTCTGGCAACTGATCCACTTCTGACAACAACACAGCTACACTGAGAAAATGTTCTAAAAGTTATTCATTATTTACTTCGCGATTTTTCAAAACTAAAAATGTTATAAATTATTTTAGGTTTAAATAAGTATAAGTTAATATAAAGTTTTATTATTATTAAAACATAGTTGTTTTTGATTAAATTTAGGTTCTGTTAAATAATTTACAAAGAACAAATTATAAAGTATCATGACAATCAGTGATCAATCGGTAAATCAAAACAAGAAGTCAATTTGTTTGGCTTTTTAGATAAGTTTCAGTATGTACTTCATTTTTTTCTGTGTCGTCTTCTCTGCTCTGCTTGGGCTGTTTCTCTGCCGAAGTCGGCGTCGACGTCGACGTCGTTTCCAGGCGAGCGATCGGCATTAGCATAACGTTCATCATTATCGTCATCATCACCTTCGTGATCATCGCGTACAACACTCGTATTTGGGGCAATTCATTTAGCGTTTTCCTCAGTGACCGCCGCAGTTGCAGCTGAAGCGTGCAAAAAAATTGTACAAATAAACAATGAAGAAGCAGTCCGAATACAACAAA